GCTGCCCTCAGGCTCGGTCATGAATTTGCAGCGAGGCCTTGGGCAAGGGCCGGGAACTTCCTGCTTGATTTCTATTTATTTATTTATTTATTTATAAAAAGTAAATTGCAGTTGATGGAGGCGTGGTGTGGGATCAGCTGCTGGAAGCACTCAGTCAGCCAGGCCATTCCGGTCCCTAGACAATTACCTTGCTTTAAGTTGGGAGCTCGTGGAGCTCCCTTTCCCCTTTAAACTTGTAATTCACAGAGCAATTTTCTGCCAGGTGGACGGGGGTGGGGGGCGGATGCAATGACGCGCATCGGCCGTGCGGAGGAAGTCCTTCTGCCCTGGAACACCCTGCTTCAGGCACTGTTCGCTGGGAACAGCTGGGTGCGGCCAGCCCTCTGCCCACGCGAGACCCCCGCTCCCACCCGCCAGCTCAGAACGCTGAGAATCTAGGTACCCGCTCTGTGCCTCAGTGTCCCCACTTGTCAGGGGAGAAAAACAATACCTCCCTGAAAGAGCTGTTGGGGGGCGAAATGGGCAAAAACATGCACCGCTGTGATTCTCGGCCTGGGATGCTTCTCCTTCCCAGAGGCCATCGGGCAATGTCCGGAGGACTTTGCAGTTGTCATGACTGGAGTGAGTGATGTGGCATCTGGTGAGTGGAGGTCAGGGATGCTGCTAAACACCCCTCAATGCACAGGACCACGCTGTCCCCCGACGACATCTGTCCCGAATGTCAATAGTGCCCAGGTTGAGAAACCCTGCTGCGTGAGACGGGGCAGCGTCCAGTCTGTATTAGCTGCTATTAGGTCCCTGAGTTCTCAGTTCTGTTTCTGGTGCGTCCGTGAGCTGCTGAGTGCGTGGACTCAAGTTTCTTTCCATCTCTGAGTATCAGGGGGCTCCTGTCCCTGGGGTCCAGCTGCCCTGCGCCCCCTGCTAGGGAGGGGAAGCATCTGTCAGGAAAGAGGAAAGCTCCCTGGCCCCATGAAAGGATCCCACACTGTCCCCTAAGCGCCATGGGACACTCTTCTCTCACCAATGCAAATACTGTCTGTTCAGGACTTACAGCTCGGTGCTAACCCCACCTGGTCCAAGCCAATGAGGTTCCACCCTAAGTCTTTGCTAGAACTGCTGGCCAGAGGCCCTGTCCTGTGCAGGGTTGCTAAGCTGGGAGGTTGTGTGCCTGTTGGTCATTTTGCCGACAGACAGGGACCACCTGTCTGGGAATGAATTTGATGGAGAGGAAAGCAAAGCCAGGAAGATCCTGCAATGGCATTTCATGCTGAATCCGGCCTTGTCCAGCCGGGTTGTGGCCCTGGACTGTGCTTTACGGAAGCCAGTGAGCCCTTCCATCTTCTGAGTTGGGTTTCTGTCACTTGTCACTGGCTACTACAGATATCCCACTTGTCCTGTCCTAAATCTTTTTTTCTTTTTTTCAGTTGGAAGTTTTCCAGCAGGAGAGGGCACACCTGGGCTCCATTTTGGAGTAACGCCACTTGGTAAGGTACGTCCTAGGCTGGACGGTAGGGGGAGGGTGGGATCACCAATATTGTGGGGGAGGTGCGCAGGGACCAGCCTGAACTCTGGGGGCAGATGACTGTGTTCGAGCCTCTTCCTGGTGATTTCTTGGCTTTACAGAGCTGGGCAGGCCCCTCAGCCATTCCAACCTGTTTCTTCATCTATGAAATGGACTAATAATCTCCTTCTCAAAGAGGCTGCTGGGAAAATTAAATGAGAACACACAAAGAGAAAGGCCACTTCATCAATAGAGCACTGCGCAGTAGTATTTATTGTTACAGTGTTAAAATTCACTCTTGGGAAGACATTTGGGGCCATGACAGGCAACCAGAGGCCAGGAACACCAGCCTTGTTTGTGGACCACTCGCCTCCTCGGCAGCCACCAACCCCCTTGTGTGGGAGGGCCTGGGAAGTCCTCCTCACCAGCCAACCATTGGCAACAGCATTAGATTCAGAGGGTGCTGCTTCCCACAGGGTGTTTTTCTCCACAGGGTGTTTTTTCCCTCAGGGGTTTATTCCTTGCCACTGAACTGCCAGGAGCCTGTTGGAGCCTCAGAGAGCAGCACAGAGGTGATAGTGCCTCGAACATACAGGTGTTGATGGGCAGGGTGAGCTGGCCTTGGACAGAGGGGCCTGAGCACCTGTGCAGCGAGCCTAACATCCCAGCTGGCCCCAGTCATCCCATGCTGCTGACTTGGCCCTGTCCAATGACCTCTAGATTCGGGGTCATTATCCCGAGGCCCCACCCCCTCGACCTCATCTCTCAGGTTGTCCTGCGCCCTCTCCCTGCCCCCTGCAGCCTGGGGTCCAGTGACTGTGAGGCTGACAGATTCCTGGGGGGAAGGCTCTGCTCAGCCAAGGACAAAGGGGTCTTTCAGAGGTGTCCGGCATCAGAGAGCTGAGCCTGCCAAACAGGTGCCTTCTGAGGGCTCCACCTACCCTGGTTCTCCCTGGCCTCTGGCCCCTGGAACCCCTTCTCAAGGGGCCAGCACCGGCTGGCGCGGACCACGACACGTTTCAGAGAAGCACATTGTATTGTTCCTGGGACCAGATGCCGCATCACCCCTTAAGGACCAAGACCACGACTCAGGCTGTTTGGACTGGGCGTGGCAGGTCCGCGCTCTGTGGGTGCCGCCCCGCCAGCCTTTGTCGATCAGCCACCAGGTCTCCCTGCCTAGTCTTCCTGTACCCCTGCTCTCCTTGCCTACTCTCGAGGCAGAGTTGACATTTAGGATTTTTCCAGCAGACAAAGCCCCTCTGATGGGACTCTGTGTGAAGTTTGTTTATTCATCAACCAACCTGCTCCCGTGTTGACAAACCAGCCCCCAGCGCTCACCAGGATGCCCAGGACGTGGGCCTCGAGCATCGCATAGGAGGGAATGTGCATCCTTCAGACCAAAAGGTGCACTTCAGATTGCCCGTGTTGCCCCAGGCTATCCAGCCTAATGCCGTCCCTGTCAGCAACCCCCAATCGCCTGCTTGCTCCTCTGTCCCCAAAGGGATGGAGTCAGAGAACTATGCGAGCTCCATTTCTGACAAGTCGGATGAATGTTAGTTTCAGATAACCAGGTCTGCCTTCGGTCACTCCCTGCGGGAATAGCTGCCCTCCTGGTTTGCTGCCCCCAAGAGGCAGGTCCTGGGGGGGCTGGATGCTGGCTCAGGAATGACCTGGGGCACCAGCTGAGCTGGAGGTTTCGCGTTCCTCCCCGGGTTGTGGGCTCTGTGGCTTCATGGCCCCATGTGTGGCTGAGCGTCATGAAGATCCTGGGGTTTGGAACTTCTGCAAAGCCAAGGCAGGTACCAGAGCTTCCCCGCTCAGTCCCTGGAATCAGAAATGTGTCCCTAGGAGGCCAAACATTCCCACGAAAGGGGGGGTCTACCTGTCCGCTCCCTACGCATTTGGTTCCCGGGCTAAGAAAGGCTGTGCTTGGGTTAAGGTGGGAGAGCCCCCTGTGGTCTCGGCGCTGGGGTGGGGGGTGGTCCTCTGGGAAGCAGGCCCTGGGTTGAAGGGCCCTCAGAGGCTGACGCCGCTGCGAGTGTTGGAAACTCCAACCGCTCCTTGACTCTCCCAGCTTGTGGCTTCAGTAGAAGTGGAGCATCATGGTTCCAATGAATGAGTCGCTTCCGTAACTGAAGGGCAAGTAGAACCCCAATGCACGTGTCCTCCCCGCATCATCGCTCAGCGTTGAGGTCCAGGAACTCAATCAAGCCTGAACACTCAAACCCAACTGGTTTCCAAGGGCTGTGCGCGTGGGATTTCTCTCTCTGTTGTTTGGTTAAGCCCTGTGGGGGGCTCTAGAGAATTGAAACATTAAACATTCCTTGTCCTCCTTTTGCACATGGCTTCAAACATAATGGAGTTAGGGAGAAGCAGTTCCATGTCAGCTGTGTTGTAAATGAGAAATTAGACAGCCCCCCCGCCCCCACCTTCCCACCTGTCTCCTGAGAGGTTGGTTACAAAGTGTGTTACAGACATTAGCAAGGGTTAATCCTCGGAGCATCCCTGGGAGGGAACCAGAAGTATAGTAGATGAAGAGGTTGAGGCACAGAGAGGCGGGCCACTGGGAAGAAGCCGGCCAGCAAAACAGTGGCAGAGTCAGCACAGGGCTGGGGTTCTCTCCTCCACCTTAACGACTTTGCTCTGCGAGATTCATCTCTATTAGGACACTGGGTGAGCACACCTGTGTTTCAGGACCGACATCCCAGCAACGGTTCGCTGGGTTAACAATGAGCATTTCCCTGCCCCCAGTCCCGGATCCATTGCCACATTTGGTACAGTTGTCATGGACCTGACTCAGTCATCCTGATCCTGCCGTTGTCACCATACCCTTCACCCCGATGACAGCCTGTCTGCATTTCCTGGGAATGTCGCTGCTAAGCTCTGCCCTGCAAGGACCATCCTCATACCCCTGGCGCGTGGAGCTACCTGGGGGAGGACAGGGCAAACAGCTCTTCAACATGTCCAGCCCACATGACATGGGGCTTGTAGGGTAGAGGAAATGAACTTCCTCATTTTGCCAAGAGAGATACAGTGACCCAAAAGTGAGCCCAGGTTCTCAGTCACAGGAGCAAGGATGCTGGCACAGAGACTCCCTCTGCATGACATGTCAGCAAGAGGAAGCACTTCCTGCCACCTTGCTGCTTGGAAGGGCCGCGTGTGGACTGGTCAACTGCAAGCTTTGCCTGCTCCAACCACGGTTACTCCTGGGCTCTGCACATCTGGCTGGAGTCCCACCCGTGCCTCCTGGGAGGGTGTCTGGGAGCATCACAGGCCTCCTTCCACCTTGGCAACTCGGCTCACGGCTCCAGGAGAACAGCCGCTGGTCATTCACCCTGAGGGGTGCCTAGATCATGGAGGGGCTGGGCACTGCGGCAGGTCCTCGCGGCCAGCATCGTCCCGCCCTCCCGTGGAGCAGAAAGTCCGCAGCAGGGATGTCCTTGTTCCTTGTGCTCCCATCTGAAGCTGCAGCGGCGTGTTGGGATTTTTCCGGGGCCAGAGAGGAGTGTGCTCAGCCCGAGGTCACTATGTACAGTGGCACGTGACTATGTGGCTACCCTTCCTCCAGGAGAGAACCCATGTTGGGTGCGGCGGAGCATCAGTCCCCTACACGTTGGTGACCTCCAGGCCATTGTAGCCTTCCAGGCGGCCCTGCTCTGGCCCGCCCTGGAGGTCATCGTCGCCGCAGTCCTCGTTCTGAAGAGAGCCATAGTCATCGTGGAAATCGGGCTCTTTGCTGCTGAAGCCCCTTCCGATCTTCCCCAGGGGCAGCTGAGAAGACAGGAATGAGACCAAAGGATGGGGGAGGGGAGAAAGAATGGACTTTTCAGGTCTGGGAAATGGGGGAGGGGGTGCGGCTCCAATCCTACCTGCCGTGTGACCTTGAGTAACTCATCTAACCTCTCAGTGCTCTTCCCGTTGGTAATAACACCCCACTGCACGTTAACATTAGGAGAGAGCTGTGTGTCCCCACCTGGAAGGAACCGCTGGTTCCCAAGGGTGAGGACAGATACAGTCTTTCTGACTATCCCCCCGTGTGGGAGGGCGCTTGAGAACAGGTGTGACGGAGCAGAGCTGCCTGGGCAGGGTCGGTCGGGAAACGCACTAGCACTGCCCAGTGCGGCAGGAAGGGGGCGGGCTTTGGAGACTCACACACCAGGGTTCAGATTCCCGCTCTGCCGGGTCCCTGCCGTGCGACCTGGGACAAGTCACTTGCCCTCTCAGGGCCTCAGTTTTCTCAGCTACAAAACGGAAACAGTAATCCCTATCTTTTTCTCATTATTCCCGCTCCACAATGAACATCTTAGCTATTTTTTCCCTCATCACACTCCTGCCATGAAATTATACCGGACATGCTGTGCTTCCGTTTATGGACTGTACGTGTACCTCTGCTAGTTATGTAAAAAGATTAAGGTTTCTTTTTCCTGCCTCCCTTAGACCAATTTTTCACCCTTTTAAGGGTATCGCCCTTAATGGCGGTGCTCATTCTGGACTGAAAGCGCCTTAAGAGGAAGGTGGTCATTTGCTCATGCTTACACCCCAGGCTCAGGGTGGCGCCGGGAACCTTGTCAGGAACCCCCAAATGTCCGCTGAACCAGTGGAAGAATTTGGGGTTGTCCACTCCCGCCATCTCTGTCTACACACTTCCATCTCGGGCCCTGGGTCGGCCTGAGTCCGTGTGATTGGCCCAAACTGGGCACGTTTTCTCCCATCAGCCCTCTGCTCCTCTGCTGTTCTTGGTCGGGTCCCTGGAGTCCATCTAAGTCAGTGGTTCTCAGAGCTTGGGGAGCTTAGGAGCGCCCTGGGCAGCTTGCATGCAGGGTCCCCCTCACCCTCTGCTCCCAGAGTCCAGGTGGGTCCCAGAACCTGCACAATGAGCACCCGCCCAGGTGAAGCTGCTGCAGACCTGCCCCTTGAGCGGCTACTCTAAACCTCGTGGGGCTTCGGCCTCGCACGCGTCCCTTGAAGGTGAGTTCTCTGAGCAGCACCTGTGACCTGGCCCGGCAGTCCCCTCCTCCACAGAACAGCGCAGGAGCTGGGGAAGGGCAGAGCGGACCCAGATGACCAAAAGCCCTCCGCAGGCTGCAGGACTCCCAGGGGAATGCATAGGGTGACTTACCCGGCCAGCCTTGTACTTGATGCTGCTGCTGTTCTCCTCCCTCCCCGCCCGGGTGACGCTGGAGGCCCTCCCGGGGGGCGTGCCGAAGCGCTCGGCCTCCCGGATGCCCGTGGAGCTGGGGGAAGACCCGTTTCCAGTGAGTGGGGGGTCACTCAGCCACAGCCTCGCAAGACATGCACACTCACACGTCAGCAGCCTGGCTCGGCGCCCCCTCCGGCGGCAGTGCCCTGGGGCTGTGTGTGCGGCAAGGCGGGTAATAATGGCGCTTCTCTCATAAGGTCGTTGTGGGGATTGAATGAGATGATACACGCAAGGGGCCGAGAAGTGGCTCGCACACCATTAACTAGTGCTTTGATTATATCTCACTGAGACCAAAACAGTCCATAAAGAGCACAGCCCTGGTCTGAGTCCCCTTGCTGTGCCCGTGGGCCAGCCGGCGACCTTGCAGGACCTGGTTCCTCATCTGTACATGGGAGCCCGTACACGCCTCCAGTTTTAACAAGCTCTGTACCCAGAACAGATAGCGGCCGCCTTTGCAGTGTGGACGGGAGGACGAGGACGGCCCGGCCGCCACCGTGCCGCAAGCTCTCCCTGTGTTTTTCCCAGAGCAGCTGAAGCCCCGCCTTGTTGCTCCTTTGGATGAAAACCCATGAAAACACAAATGCTTCGGGGAATAAACGAAGCACCGGATGAAGGTTTTTGGAGGCTTTGTATGGCTTGTGGAATATTTCTAGGCACTTCGTCAGACCTCGAGGGAATGGGACAGTAGATGGGTAAGTGCAGATGAGGGAAGGTTCTGGAGAACAGGGCACCCCAGTGGGTTTCCTGAGTCATCCGAGACCCTAGAAAGGCATCGTGGTGCAGGAAGGAAGGTCTTCCGCGAGGCGGGCTGGCCTGAGGGCTGAGTCTCACCCGATCAAATGAGATTTTTCCAGCAGGTTGGAAGGAGGGTATTCATTGGCCATCTGCTGGGTGCTGGGCCTGTTGCCAGGGCCTTGAACCCCCTCAGAAGCCCTGACAGGGAGAAATGGTTATGCCCATTTCAGGTTGAGGGACCTGACGGCAAGCCTCCTGCTACCATAGAATCACACAGGTGGCGGTGGAAGAGCCAGCAGCCAGCCCCGAGGCCTGCCCCGCCCCTCAGTCACACAGGACTCCAGGCACCGCGCTGGACCCGTGCGGGCCTCCCGGCAGAGGGTTATAAATCACCACTTCCTCGTGGGTTCCTGAAAATCTCAACGGGCCCCTTCTGGCCCTGCTTGGGTGACCTGGGGAGTGAAGAAGACCGTTTCCTGTGCCCATTGTGGGTTCCTGGGATCCAGGCTGAGGAAGCCTGCCCACCAAGGGGTGGCGGCGGGGCCAGGCCGCCTGTCCTGTGCACCTGCGAGTGAAGTCTCTGAGCTCACAGTGGAGTTGCCTTTCTCCCCTGAAGTTCTAAGGAGGACCTGGGGCAAACTGGCCCAAAGGGAGCCCCGTGGAGCCAGCTCCAGATGAGACTGCTCCACCGACAGACTTCGCGTGAGGTCAGAGGATGTGAACTATTGGTTATTGTGGGGCATCTATGTGCCAGGCACGCTGCAGACAAGCGGCCTCTGTGAATTTTTGTTACAGGGCCTCAGGGGTCACGTGTCCTTGGGAACGGAGCCAGGAACCCATCAGCACTCTCCCCCGCCCCAGCGCCCCGGAGCGTCCGCATGACAGGAGATCACTGGGGCCAGGGCTGGGAGGTGCCACCATGCCATTGACTCCTGTCCCGCCTTCAACAAGCTGTAGCACCTCTCCGAAGCCTCAGTTTTCTTATCCATAAAATGGGGCAATGGCCCCTTCTCACTTCGTTTCCTTCAGGGGGATGAGGGTGAAATGAATTAAAGGATGGGACCGTTCTTTGTAGGTAATAATGTGCGAAATAAGCATGTCACGGTCCCTCCAGCCTGGGACCAGTCTGGGATAGCATCCTGGGACAGTCCCGATCTCTATTCAAGCACATAGCAAGCGCTCAGTAAACCCTAGTCATCTGACCCTAACTGCAGTCATCTGGAGGGGACAGTCCACTGGGAGGAGCCGCGTTTATCTGTCCAGGTGTTTGTCCTCTGGTCGCTTTTCGGATGAGGAGGGTATGGTAGGTGGGCTGACACGGTCTATTCGCCTGGACTACAGAACACCATTCGTATGCCCATCCCTTTCGCCAGACCTTTGCTCCCACAATTACCCCTGCCTGGAGTGGCCACCTTGACCTTTTAGACCAGTGCCAATTGTCCCCAGTTCAAACTCACACTCATGTGGCCTTTGCATACACACTTGACTCCAGCCCAAAATGTTCCTCTACCTCTTTCTAGTCCATGACGTTTGGGCCAAAGCACTTCACTTCTCTGAGCCTCAGTTTACTGATCTGTCAGAGGAAACCAACCACCGTGCGGCGAGGGACACGTGGGACCCAGTAAGCCAGGGGCTGGGAAGGGGAGCCTGGGCCGCCCTCCTCCGGAGCCCGGGCGCGGCAGCCAGCAGCCCACACGCACCTGGCCGGGGGGAAGATGGCGCTCATCTCCTCCGCCAGGTGTCTGCGGAGAATGTGCTTCCCGCTGGGGATGCCCAGGGCGGTGGCCATGGCCTCGGCATTGAACGTGGGCTCCAGCACCAGCACAGCGCCGTGGACCCCGCTGTTGGTCAGGTTGTCTGCGTACTCCTGAGGGCAGGGCACAGGTTGGTTAGCCTGAGGGGGCCCCCCGGCTGGTGGAGAGAGGGGCCCTGTGAACCTGAGGGGGCAGCTCTGCCGGCCTGAGGGCGCTCCAGCTCCAAGTGGGGATATGCCCCCAACAGCAAGGGCTTGACCCTTGGGGACCAGTCATTTAACACTGAGGGGGAACCCCAGCCTCACTGTTTGAGGGCCACAAGGGTGGGGACCAAGGCTATCTTGTCGCCAGACCTTGGTGGGCAGCCCGTAAGTACTTGAGTGGGAAGATGGACCTGATTCAACCTCACACTTGCTCGGGAGAATGAGGAAGGCCCAGCATCCCCCACCCCTACTGTGAGGCAAGCATCAGTATTGGGCGTCCTATTGTGGGGGAGGCAGGAGTGGTTCCCTCTTCTTGAGTGACAGGAAGCAGGTTATTCTTGCCAGCCGGGGGTAACGGTGCCCCAGCTCACACAAACATGGGTATTGATTTGCACGCAAACGTGCATGGGACTGGCTCCTGCCTGGGAGTCACCCCCACACCCGCTGTCACCCCTCACCTTCAGATCGATATCTCGCACCCACTTGAGCACCCGCTGGTTGGTCCAGACCACGGGGTCTATGTTCTGCGTCTCGCAGCGGGCCCGGCGCTCCTGGAGGGCCTGGTGGGGAGGGAGACAGGGTAGTCTGGGGGGACAATGGAGCACGCTGAGGTCACACGGGGAGAGAGGGTCCCCAGAGCTCACAGGGACCTCGGTCTGCCTGTATGGGGATAAGTAGTGAGTTCTTAGGGATGCGGTTTCCTATTTCCTTTGAATCAAGCACAGGGCCTGCCCCGCGCTATAAGCACTTGTTGGAAGGCGAGATGGAGAAAGGAAGAAACGAATGCAAGCCTGAATGGATGGATAGATGGACAGGTGGGAAGATGGTTGGATGGACAAACAGTGAATGCCAGAGCGGAAAGCAAGGCTGTGGAAGGAGCTTGCACCCCACACCCTGGTTCTCACCTCTCTGCTGAAGTTCACTTGGTACAGCAGCTCGATCCCCAGCAGGATGCTGACCTGGTGGAACTTCTTGGACACATTCAGGTGCTTCTCCAGGTCCCGCTTCATCAGGGAGTTCAGCATCCGCCCGTCGACCAGGTGGTTTTGGAAGGCCTGGGAGTACTGGGACAGGCCGATGTCATTCAGCCAGGCCTTGGCCACCCAGTGATGGTCCAGGTCAGCGGCTTTGGACAGGCTGGAGAAGAGAGACATAGCCAGAGAGATGGATGGGTGGGGAAAGGTAGAGGAAGTAGAGGGACAGGCAGAAATGGTGCAGAGATAAGGAGGGATGAATTGAGAAGGGGAAAGCAATGGGGTGGGGGGAGGCAGAGAACCAAGAAAATCAGAGGTAGACAGGAATAGGCATGGAATGGAGAGAGAGAGAGGAAGAAAGAGAAAGAGCAGGTGGTGTGAGAGGGGAATGAAGGGAAGAGAGGGGAAGGGGGAGAGGGAGGGAATATGGGGGGAGGGGGAGAGAGAGAGAGAGAGAGAGCCCCAAAGAACAAAAAGGAATCAATAGGTAGGCAGGGATGGGTAGGAAAAGAGAAAAGACCACATTCGGACACACTGGCAGTGACAAGGGACCGTGAAAGAGCAGCAGGGACACATGCAGCAGGAAGCAGCCCCAGGGCCTCTACAGAACCCCCGAGGCCCACAGAGCCTTGGCCTGGCCCATGTGTCCTTGGACTTTGGCCAGAGTCACAGAGGCACGTCTTGGAATCAGAATTAAAATCTACATTTTTTATCTTCTAAGTCCTCTCTCTTCACTGCCATACTTCAGATCTCTTTGTATCCCACGCAGAACTTATCCCAATGCCACGCACACAGTAGGTACACCACAAACACTTCTTAAACGCATACAAGGGTGGATGCCCCTGGTGAGGATAGTCCAGTTGGCTTTCATCCCTTTGCTCACCACACAGTGGCAGCCTAGCAGAAGGAATAGGGACAGCATCTCCCACTGCAGGGACTTGGAGAAATGACCAGAGGTGCTACCAGGAAAGGGAGCAGCGTTGTCTACCTGGGAGCCACAGGGGACCATGAAGCAATCATAAGGTGAAAGTAAGAAAGTAAAGCGGTGGTCTTACAGAACGATGCTGCCCTCCTTCCCAGGCCTGGAATCAGGACCAGCACCCTTCCCTTGCCCCCAGGTAGAAGGAACACCCCCTTATTCTTTCCCAGCCAGGGCCCATGGACACGGAGAAGGGTGAGAGGCTCATCCTTGTTCACCCATCTCTGGGGGCCACTCTACCATCCACCCAAGCTCAAGATCTGGGTTGGATTTAAACTCCCCCTGCCTCGGTTTCCTCCTTTGTACTCTCCACTGCTCCCTCCAGGTACCATCTTCTCTCCCTTGGACTTCGCCTGCTAACCTGTGCTCTCTCCGGTCCCTTCCTGGAAAAGCAGATCACGCAGATCATGCCACCCTCTTGCTGCTGGTCCTACCTGGTTCTTCTGTCCTTCATTCATTCCAAGAATATGTATTGAGCAGCTACTGAGCGTGTGCCCGGAGTAGATGCTGCCTTGCCATGAGCACAGGATCCCTTGTGGCCCCTTCCCTTCTTTCTCACCCCTCACGCTCTCCATCTCTGGGGGCATCCATTTCCAGAGCTCTGGATTATATCTGTAAATGGGAAGTCCTAAATTCACATCCCTCCTCTCTTCTGCATCACAGATTCTAACTAACTGCCCTCTTGACCTCTCCTGGCTGTCTCAGGCACCTCACATTTAATGGGCTCCAAATGAAATGCCCTGTCCCCTCGCCCAGCTCTTCCCCACCCACTACGGCCATCCAGCTCCCTGTCCTCACTTTCCCCGCCTCTTCCTTCTCCTGCCCTCTCCACCTGTAAGGTCACCCTTTCTCTCCTTTTCTGGGTTCAAGCCCCGACCACCTCTGGCATGGATTTCTGCCCCGGCCTCCTGGCTGTGCCCACCCCCTTGCCCTTTCTGATGCACATTCCCTACGGCTGCCAAAAGGACAAAAGTCATCATTCACATGAATTAAAAATACATCAATTAGCTCTTGTAACTTCCCTGCTTAAAATGCTCTTGTGGAGGAACCTTAACTGCATATGACTAAGTGAGAAAAGCCAATCTGAGAAGACTACATACTGTATGATTCCAAATACAAGGCATTTTGGAAAAAGTAAAACTATGGAGATGATAAAAAGATGAGTAGTTGCCAGGGGTTAGGAGAGAGGGAGGGATGAACAGGTGGAGTACAGAGGAGTTTTAAGGCGGTGAAACTACACTGGATGATACTCCAATGGTGGATGTACATTGTCATGTTTGTCCAAGCCCATAGAACGTACACCACCAGGAGCGAACCCTCTGTCAACTGCGGACTTGGTTGATGATGGCCATGGGTCAATATAGGTTCAGTTGTAACGAATGTCCCCTCTAGTGGGGGACGGGATTATCGGGAAGGCTATGCATGTGGAGGAGCTGGGGTACATGGAAAATCTCCCTACCTTTCCACCAGTTTTGCTCTGAACCTAAAACTTCTTAAAAAATAAGTCATACAAAAATGAGCGTGGAAAAAAGGGCTTCTTTTTTAAACTGGCAAAATGGAAAGAATTCATCTTCAGCAAAATGAACTCCAAGAAAGGTTAAATGAGTTTCTTTAAGAGGAAAAAAAATAATAAACACGTGGAAGTTTGGACTACACAAAAGGATCAAAAGGAAAACTCCTAAAACTCAACAACAAAAAGATAAAGCAATTCAGAAATGGGCAAATGACTTTAATAGGCATTTCTCTAAAGAAGATATAGGGATACCCAAGAAGCACATGATAAGATGCTCAATGTCACTCATCATTAGGGAAATGCAAATCAAAACCACAACAAAATGCCACCTCATACCTGTTAGTATGGCTACTCCCAAAACCGCCCCCCCAAAACAACAAGTGGGATGTAGAGAAATCAGAACCCTTGTGCACTGTTGGTGGGGAGGTAAAATGGTGTGGTTGCTGTCGACAATAATGCAGTGTTTCCTCAAAAAAGCAAAATAGCATTCCCATCCAATCCAGAACCCCACTTCCAGCTATTCACCCAAAAGAATCGAAAGCAGGGTCTTGAGGAGGTGTTTGTCCACCATGTTCATAGCAGCATTACTCACAACAGCCACGAGGTGGAGGGCACCCTAGTGTCCATCAGCCGATGGATGGATAAGCAACATGTGACAACATGCAATGGAATATTACTCAACCTTTTAAGAAAAAGGATATTCTACAACATGCGACAACATGAATTAATCTTGAGGACAGCATATAATGAAGCCTATTATTTATATATATGAAAAGAATAGCACAAAGGCAGAAGAAATCATTCAATACTATAGGCAAAGTTGTATTATTTGAAGGAGACCCTGGTATACTCAGAGTGCATATTGTAACCCCTAGAACAACAACAGAAAATGAAACAAAGAAGTACAGTTCATAAGCCGGAAGTGGGAACAGCATCGAACTAATAAAAAGTAAGGCAGTAAAAGAAGAAAAAAGGACAAAGGGTAGATCTAAATACAGTGGAACCTTGGTTCTCAAACTTAATTTGTTCTGGAAGGCCATTGGAGAAAACAGAATCATTTTCCCCCAGGTATCAGCGTGACAGTGGTGTTGTTCGACCACCAAGTAATTTTTTTTCCATGAACTTGGTTGAGAACCGAATTGTTCAAGGTTGGGGGGTGTTCAAGGACCGAGGTTTGACTGTAAAATAAAACAAGAAAACTCTACCGTGATCTTCCTTTGCAGGAATAAATCGGGAGTCCTTGGAGGGGCCTGACCGGGGCTGCTCGGGCAGTGGGCCCCCTTGGCCCCCTCTGCCCCCACCGCCTCTCCCGCACCCTTGCCTTCCAGCCCTGCCAGGCTCACTCCTCAGCTCCTTGCAGGGCTCCATGCCTGCCCTGCAGAACCTGTGCTGTCTGAAGACGCCCCCCAGCTTGAGCCTCTGCCTCTGTTTCCTGCTGAGCGAGAGGCACATGTGGAACTTGAAAATTAATTGATCCAAGCGCAGGGGTTGCTCTCTGCTAGCCAGCCAGCCTGGTGCCCCGCGCCGAGCAGACACTTCATGGAAAGAGTGACTGCAGAGGGAGGGGTGGGCTGCAGAAGGGGGCTGGGCTCCCGGCTTCCCGCCCCTCAGTCGCCCAGAACCACCGCTGGGTCTGCCCCAGTGGCCGGGGCCTCCTTGTGTCCTGTCTGCAGGCCTGGTTGGCCCGCGGCACCCTCTTTACCCGCTGAGCCCCTACAGGACTGGGCTGGGAGGCTGCCGCTCTCTCCGAAGCCTTCACGCCCCGTGCAGCTGGGTGAGGACCCTGTCTGTGCCCAGAGCCTCCTGGGAGTCCCATCCCTATACTTGTCACCCTGGTTTATTGCTGCTCATCTGGAGGGTAGGATGGGGGATGGCATATCGACAAACACCCAGGGATCCCACCTGACCCACAGTGATTGCTCGACAGCTTCCCATGCCTGGAAGGCAGCGTGAGTGGGGCGTTGGCTCCGGGGGATGCAGGCAGACCTCCCTCCCAGCCTCTTCAGGGCTGGCTCCCGCCTTGTCACTTCAGAGGGACCCTTGCCAGGCCCTGACCCAGGCAGGAGTCGGAGCTCAGGGACCTTTGAACCAGATGCCTCTGTGCCAGGACTGTGGCTGCTGGAGGACCAGAGCCACCGCCTCTCCTGGGTGAAGGAAGGGTTTGCTCGGCACCTCAGCTGGGCAAACGGCTGTGGGGCGGGGTGGAGGGGCACTTCCGCACCTACTCGGGAGAGGCCCGTTTATAACCAGCAATATCCATCCACATGCCAACAATTAATGAACTCCTGCTCTTCAAGACATTCTCTTTTCATTAAAGTCATCCCCATGGGGCCTCTGCTTGGCAACACTTCCTCAGCTGTGGGTCTGAGCTATTGTAAGCACCCAAGTTGAATAGAACAGCATGACCTTAAAAATAATTTAAGGTATTTTATAAAACTTGACACTGCCCCACCCTTCCGAACTGGGGCTAGATTAGGCCCTGACATCCAAGTTTGGGCACAGATTTAGATGCCCTCTGGGTCATTGTTCAACACGAGACCGTGCTGGCTCCAAGACCTTGCACCTCTGTGCCTCAGTTGCCTCTTCTGTAAAATAGGGTTGATCACGTTAACCTCCCAGAGTTGTGAGGACTGAGAGATACGAGAAGGGAAGACTCAGCACAGGATCTGGGACGCACTGTGTCCTATAAATAGTAAAGGGAGCTGGTGCTGTTGTTTTCACACGAAGGGGACGTGGGAGACAGGAAAGGGAATTGGCTTCAAAGTTAGATATTTTGTAGTGTGACTTTGTGCCCGGGATTTCTCTGGGCCTCACTTTCTCCATCTTTAAAATGGGGGTGAGAACGTCTCTCCTACACTGGTGTTGTGATGGTTAAATAAAATTGTCCCCATGAAGTGATGGGAGCTTCTTTGGCAAGTGCCGGTGAATTTGGTTGTCGGTATTTTAGAAATAAGGGGAACCAGGCCCAGAGAGGGCAATCTCATGCCCAAAGTCACACAGCAAGTGTCCTGCATACAGCCTGGGGCTCTTACCCTAGAGTTCTCCAGGTGGGTCAGGGGATCCCAGGGTGCACATTTGTGAAGTTTTGTATATTTCTTCTGGTGAAAGTGTCAAAAGTTTTCATTAGGTTTTCAAAGAGGGCCATGATCCCCCAAAGTTAAAGAGCCACTGTCCTGATGTTCCCCTCTTCACTTCACAGGGGGAGAAAGAGTCCCAGAGAGAGCAAAGTCACACAGCAAGTTAGAGACAGGCCAGGCTTCTGCAGGGAATGAACGGGACCCTCACTTGAAGGCCCCTCCGCCCCCAGGAACCCTGTGGTATCCAGCGCTGGGCCCACGATCCTTGGAAACAGTCCTGCTTACAGCTCTTGGAATGTTTCACAATCTGTTCACATGTGGCTGCTGATTTGAACCCACCCCGTAGGATCTTGGCTCCTGGTGCTTGGGTCAGCCATGTCTGGGGGGATGCCGAGACCCCGCATCTTTGAGAGGTGGAGCAGGCAGCCCCTCACTGCTCAGTGAACACAGTCAGCACTTACTGGCTGCAATGGGAGCGGGACCAGGGGGCGGGAGGGGGTTCCGGTTTGGAGGGGGGAGGATGGTGAGCACTTCTGGGGATTCTGAGGAAGGCCCTGGCTCGGAGGGGTGGTGAGCGAGAGGTGTGGAGGTGGGGGGTAGGGGGCCCTCAGGAGGGAAATCTCAGCGGGGTGCCGTTCCTCCGTTCCCTCACCCCCAGCCCTGGAGGACGGCAGGGTCCTGACTTTCTAACAGGGCCTGCACCTTCTGGCTTTGCTGGCTTTCTGCTGCTACCTGAGTTTCCGATCCGATGTCGTCATTTCCTGCCCCCCTTGGAGTGACATCCGGGGCCCTCTCCCGGAGACACGGATTTGGTTGTCCTGCTTCCAAACCAGCCCAGTTCCCCAGCCCGAGCCCCAGCCCCCTGTTTTTCTAATCCACAAAGCTGCTTCTGCAAATAAGAGCACACACCACCAGGTTTGATTAATTAACTGCACAAAAATGACGGGGAAACCAGTGGAGGAGATAATTATGCACAACAAAAGTGTCAGATCCACCAGCCTGTTCCTCCTTTCCCTCTGCTCACACCTGAGTGTGTGTGCATGGGGTCCTTCTTTTTTCCCTGGGGCTGCTTGGTGAACAAGCTCCCCCAATGAGTCCTCCTCACCAAAGCTCAGGAGAGAGGCTGGCAGAGGTAGCTGGGGAGGGCCAGGGACAGGGACGGGGAGGGGAAGGGGTGGTGAGCCGGGGAGGGCACGGTGGGGGTGGGGGGATGGGAAGGACCTCCGGCCATTCCCTCCTGTGCTTCCCCAAGGGAGCCCCCTGCTGGGCCCGGTCCTTCCTCTGTCCCATCCTGCTTCTCCCTGCCTATGCTGCCTTCCTCCCCCTGGAATCGTAGGTGTTGGGGTTTGAACTGGAAGCACGCAGAGCAGACACGGTGGGTGGCCGAATTCCCAGATCCACTTGGCCTGGCCCACCCTCCGAGACCTCAGAGACTGGGGGTGCGTGGGGTCTCCCCGACTCCCGCACTGGGAGGATCACAGGACATCGGGGGCCTCACTCTTTCCCCATTTTCCATCTTTCCATGGGAAGGACTGGGGTGTGCATGAGCCTCCTGCCCAGCGGTGTTTGGGACCGTTTTGGCCCCACCTGGCCCAGCCTACAGCACCCCCTCACCCCGCCTGTGTGATTGCAGGCCTTGGGGCCTTGGGGGCACCTCTGGCCCTCTCCTGGGGAGCCCAGGGCGTTGGCTCACCTCCGGCCGGCCTCGGCGTCGCGGTAGTCCTCGATGGCCAGCCGCAGCTTCCGCCGGTGCAGGGAGCTGCACACGCCCAGGCCCAGCTCCAGGTCTTCGTCACTCAGGCTCAGCAGCACCTGCTCCCCAGCAAGGTAGGGACTGAGTGCCCCGAAGGGAGGCTTGGCGTGGGCACCCAAGGCCACCCAGGGCCACTGTTGGCCGGGGCTGAGCCCCAGCGGGGTCTGCTGGCTGGGACTGCCCCCGCACCTCGTCTCCCAGTCCCCTTTCCAGAGGGTCAGGACAGAGAACCTAGGGCATTCCTGCTGCCCGGCTTGAGCCAGGGCTCCAGGAGGTGGGCAGATCACTGTCCAGACCGAAAGAGCCCTCCAGTTGAGTCCTGCCCCCCTTCAGCCAGGTAAAGGAGGGCGAGTCTCACGTTAAAGAGGAGGAGGCTGAAGCTCTGAAGGGCTCTGCGCCTTGTTAGGGAGACCCGACGATTTACTGGGAACACTGGTACCCGAGCCCAGGTCCCGCAGCTCCTGGGTCACGTCTCCTTCTAACCCTGAGGCTGGGAGTCGGGGGTGTGGTAGAGGCGGGGCAGACCAGCTCAGGGTTGGTGAAGCTCATGGGAGGGCTGGGGGCACATTCCCAAGGGGGTCCGGCGGGGCGGGGGGCCCTACCTTCCCACTCTTCACGTTCTCCGCACAGGCCTTCACGTACATGGGCATGGCCATGACCACCTCCAGCCAGGCCTGCACGGTGCCGGCCTTCCAGTGGGACATGGGGGTGGTCCGGACCAGCTCCACCTGCTGCAGCCGGTCCACCTGCTCCTCACCCTCCGACAGGCTGAGGCTCTGCCTCGTGGGGCTGCACTGGCTGTCCGAGTCTGCAACACACAAGCGAAGGGGGCGAGCTGGGGGGATCTGGGGCGGCGCAGAGGGTGGGGTCGGACAGGCCCCACCCCCTGAGTCCGTAATCCAGGTGCGGGAGGAGAGCAGGGATGTCTTCTTTCCAGGCATTTCTTCTTTTAAAAATCAAAATGACTTTTGTTTTGTTTTGCCAGCCCTCCCCCATTACCAAAGGAACCTATACCCCCGACAAAGAAAAGAACTTTAAAAACTTAATCCAGAAAAGAATAAAAGTAAAACAGGAAGGGACAATCACTCCAAATCCCACTCACTCAGAGACCGCAGCTGCCAGGAGTCAGCTAAGTAGACTGCGAGGCACACAAAGGCCCGAGCAACACACGTGCAGACCCACGCACCGCGCAGCCTGTTTTGTCAGATGCTGTCCTTATATACAACCTGCAGCACCCTCCGCTCTCAGGAGGGGCCTGTACCATCTTCTGACTGCACGGGACTCGTGGAACGGGTGCTCTGCCTTTTATTTCACCTGCCTCGGTTGATGGACCAGGGTCCTTCCCCATTTCTCACTATTGCAAACAATGCAGCAGGAATCACCTCTGGGCAGCTGGGTGCTTTGTTTTCATAGGACAATGGAGCCCAACTCTATTCCTTAATGCACTGGAGCGCATTTCCTGAGAGGTCCTCACAGACCAAAGTTCTACTCACAAGCACATTGCAGCCTGTTCTTTGGTGGTCGGCTGCAGCGACACCTGATAAACATGCCACGTTCAGGTTGGCGTAGAGTCAGCCAAGAGGGGAAAAGAATCTCTTGTCTAAATACAGCAGGATTAAATGAAAACCCAACAGGTGAACTCAATAGCATGAGTAAACGACAAGTATTAACAAACAAGCCTGGTTTGAAAGTCCCTACCAATATTGTGTATTGCAAATCATAAGGATATAAAAAAAAAAAATCCTTATCTGTCAAATGGGGCACATCCTTGAAACAATGGGTAGGAAGTACACACAGATGTTAACAATGATGGAGTTTGGGATCCAGGAAGAATGGTTATTTTCCTCTTGCCTTTGTGTACTCTCAAAGTTCCATAATAAACATGTATAAATTTATACTAAAAATTGGAAAAATTAAACAATAGGAAGCAGCACAAATGGTTATTGATGGGAGCTCGTCAATGAATGATGGTTCGTTCATATACTGGAATAAATGCACTTAAGAAAACTGCCACAGGAGAATTTTTTTAAAAATGTAAACTTCACTCAAGGATGTTTATTGATTTTAGAGAGAGGGAGCAAGAGAGAAACATCGATGTGAGAGAGAAACATCGATCGGTTGCCTCCCAAACGCACCCCAACCAGGGACCGTACCCGCAACGCAGGTAGGTGTGCTAACCGGGGGTCAAACCCACAGCGTTTTGGTGTACGGGACAGCACTTCAACCAACCGAGCCACCCGGCCAGGGCACAGGAGACTATTTTTGACACGGGAAAGTGGTCACAATCTATTGCCAAGTGAAAAAGCACAGCACAAGACAGCAGGTACCATGTAAGGTCAACCATATTGTAAACATTGTGTATGATATAACATGTATCATTATAGCCATGTATATACATATATGAATGTGTACATAAATCTCTTCATATATATATATAATACTAGATGGGTAAATGTTAAAGTCTTATTTCTGGAAAGGATCGATTGTACATGAGTGTGCGCATGTGTGAGTGCTCAAGAGTATTTGTGTCTGTACACTTTTCTGTTTCCCAAGTTTTCTGCATGGACTATATTACTTTTGAAATTAAAAAAACCCCACAACAACAAACCCACAGCCTGGAAATCTTGCTTTTTCAAATTATAAAGCCCTTCCCCTAGTTTCTTTACCTCCTACTTAGTAAACTCCTTGAATGGCCCTGGAAAAGACGGCCTCAGCTCGGTGGCTACACGTTCTTCTCTCATCCCAGCTCCCCGCAAACCTTTCTCTCCAATGCCCGGGGCCTCCAGCTGCCCAGCCAAAGCCCTGCAGACCCCTCAGCAACCTGGCCTGAAGATGCCACTTACGTCCAGCAAGGCGCTGGGCAGAGAATCCTAACTCTGGAAAGGCCTCAGTTTCCACCTCTGTAATGCTGGCATGATGCTGTTCCCTGCCACCTGCGTCCCTGAGCGACAGTGGATGACAGATGAGTCTCGTCTCTGCCAGGAGGGTAGGGGTTGGGAGGTCACTGCAACATTATTACATTTCTCTTCTCAGGTGGGCGGAAGGGCCAGAGAAAGGGAAGCTAACAGGTCTGAGCGGGTCACGGGTCTGAGAAAACGTGTTGCCATGGTGCCTGGGAATGTAGAAACTGCAGTTTCCTCTGCATCTGCCTGAGGGTGCCAGGATCTTCCTGGCGAGAGAGTTGTCCCTAGGGGCACAGAAACCCAGCCTAGGTGTCCCCTCCTGCTGGCGCCAGGCTCCCAAGGATGGGCTTCGCTTGCACAGAAGTCTTTCTGATCGAGTCCTGCAGGTGTTGACCACTGGCACCCAAAGAGGGGTTCTCCCTGGGCTTGAGAGAGCTGGGAGCCTCTGTCCCGCTCCTGTAACTGAGTCCTCTCTCTGTTGCATGATGACAGATGATATGTAGCAGAATCTGGTTACACCAAATTCCAAGACACGGTCCCTGCAGTCCATTTGGACCAGGGCTGCGGGAAGGGACCAGGCTTTGGAGTTGGACAGGCCTGGGCTTTCGGCAAACTTTTTAACTGTGCGAAGCCTCATGTTTCCCATCTATAGAACGGGCATAATAATATACCTCCTAGATTAATATGACTATTTTAAACTCAGAGTGTGAAGTGGCCGTAGGCACTCTGTCACGGGTGCTGTCATCGGTAACAAAGGGCCCCTCCCCGAGGCTGGGGAGACTCTGTGGCTACACCTGGGATGCAGCTGCAGCTGCCTGAGTCCCACTGCATCACTGGATGAGACGCGGCTGGAGCTCGACTCGGGTGCTGGGGGGGACGCAGGCCCGCTCCTCGTGTAGGCAGGGACTCACCTCCCCGCTGGACTCCATCGTGGTCCAGGCGGGGGGGTGCGCGTCTGTGAGGGGAGGCGTGGATTTGGGTGTTCTGTGCCAAGGTGGGCGGTGGGGGGGTGTGTTTGCAAGGGTTGGCTCTGTCTCCCCAAGTCAAGGAGATGAGGGGGCGTGGGAAGGGGCAAGATGGGAGCAGATGGGCAACCGGAGTCAGAGAGAGGGAGAGGCAGAGGGAGAGAGAGGAGGAGAAGAAGCGTGAGAAGGAGAGAACTTCCTAGAGAGGAGGGAAGAGAGAGTTACAGAGCTAGCCTTCAGGGGAGAAATCATGCCACAGGACAACAGATACACAAAGATAAACAGGAAGGAGGAGAGAGTGGGTGGGAGGTGGAGAGGGAATTGCAGATCAGGGGACAGACCAAACAAAAACCAAAAACGAAAAACCAGAACAGACTTCCGTGAGTGTGTTCTCCTGCGTGGGACGTGTCTTTGAGAGTGTGTGCGGGTGGTTCTGCGCGGGCAGCTGGCTGTGCCATTCATGTTATTTATGGGCTCCGGGCTCCAGGGACGCTGGAGGCCATGCTGAGCTCACGTGAGCAAACCGCACATTTTGGTTTCTGAGAAAAGACAGCTCTTCAGCAGCTCCCCCCTCGGCTCAGCCCTGGAGACTGAGCTCCGAGGAGCAGAAGCTGCAGATGGACTGAGGGCAGGGAGTCTTCGAATTAAAGGCAATTTCCAAATGCCGGTGTTAGGACGCCAGATTTAATGTCCGGGACTCCATCCGGCCTGGCTTTTATTTCCCCCGTCTCAGCCCTCAGAGGGGGAATCACTCATGTTTAGAGCCAGGCAGCTCAGTGAGGGCTGAGCGCTTAGAGGGACCACCTGGGGCCCGGCAGAGCCTCGGGAGGGGCCGCCACCAGGCAGTCGCTGTAGATCCTTCTGAACACTGGTGGTGACTTCGGACGGAGAGACTCTGCATTGTCCCGGCCACCCCCAGCACAGGCCCGCGGGCGCCCGCGGGTGTTAGTAGTCAGTTACTGAGGTTTCCCCGGACTGGGAGCACAGAAACAGCTGTGTTAGCACGGGAACAGGAGAGACCCGGGTTTGGGAAAGTGTTTTACGTTTTCTCAGCCTTGCTTCCCGTATCTGTCTAATCACACAGGTCTATGTGAGGACACAGTGAGATGGTGTATGAAGTGCACAAAACGCTCTGCCCAGTGTTGGGCGTACAGTGGGCGCCTGGTGACTGGGTGGGGCCTCTGGCCTCTGCGGCTCCTACCACTTCCAGTCAACATCGGTTCTGTCCAGAACAGTGGCTACAAGCCGCGCGATGCTACTGAGCCCTGGTAATGTGGCTAGTCCACGTTCAGAAGTGCCGATGATATAAAACACACACTGGATTCTGAAGACTTTGTACAAATAATGTAAACTACCTCATTAAAGTTGATCACATTAAAATAACAATATTTGGAGTATATTGGATTAAATAAAATATATTATAAAAATTCATTTCACCTGTCTCTTTTTATTTAATACGGCTACTAGACAACCTAAAAATTACACATGTAGCCTGAATTCTATTTTTACTGGACAGAGTTGGCGTGGATGGAAGATTTTTTTGTTTGTCTATTCACTCATTTCATTTGCGCGCCTCTCAGGTGGTTTGGAGGTTAAGCACCCTACTTCTCTGTTTTTGGTTCAGGAGTTCTGGAAGTGTGGTCCCTGAGCCTGCAGCACCGCGGTGCCTGGAAGGTTGTTAGAAATGAAAGTTCTCGGAGCCTGCCCCGGATACCCGGACACAGACGCTCAAAACCAATTGTGCTTCCTCTATCTGTGGGTTCATTTGTGGAATTTTCACAACAATTATCTCTTAAAATATGACTTCTTTTCCATTCTCTCTTTGCTTCCTTCTGGGACTAGACTTTCTATCTTCCTTATCTTGTAACTTAACGCTGTCCAACGGAACTTTCGGCGATGGGGCCATGTTGTAGAATCTACACGGTGCCACATGACAGCTG